ATGTGTTATCTGTAATACAGATGTTCCGTCTACAACTGAAGCTGTAAAACATCATTTAAGTTTGCATTCTAAAAAAGAACAAAAGAATTATATACATGTAACAGATTGGAATTGGAGATTTTGGACAGAAAAAAATGATAATAAAGTGGAATGTAATATTTGTCATAAAGATATATCTCTTTTTATTCACAAAAATTTAGATAATCATATAAAAACGAAACATTCGAACACATTGAAAAATACGCAAGAAGCATACGACACAGTTGGTTCGTCAGAACGCGTTTCATCACTTCGAACGGACACAATGTCACTATCTAGAAAGCATCTGTGGAAATATTATATAAAACTGCCGAATTTTAAAGCGAAGTGCATGTCTTGTAAAACTAAATATACTTATATAGCAGATTCAAACTTCCGAGAACATATTAAAAAACAACACAAAGAAATTTGGAAATACGAAAAAGAAAAAAAATTTACAAAATTGCCATGGATGTATTTCAAGTATTCAGACGAATTATATTCACAATGTATTATTTGTAATAAATATATTTTATCTACATTGGATACTGTGGAGAAGCACTTAAATTGGCATGAAAAACAAGAGAAACAAATATATCACGATAAATATCAAGGTTGGGCACGGAAATATTGGACAGGAGATGATTTTGTGGTTGAATGTAATATTTGTCATAATAATATGACTCTTTCTATGCACAGTACGATGAATTATCATCTAAAGCAGGCACATCCGGAGAAATTAAAATATAGGCAAGAAGCATACGATACAATTGGTTCATCAGAACGCGTTTCATCACTTGAAACGGACACAATGTCTGAGTAACCAAAAGATTATTTTAAATCATTCAACCCATCGGCCTCAAATGCATTATTTGTAATGAAAACGTTTCATTTTTATCTAAAAGTTTAGAAAATTATTTACGCTTGCATTCTAAGGAACAATTAAAAAGACATACATCTCAGAGTTGGCTATGGGAATATGTACAAAAGGTGATGATTTTGAAGTAGAGCATAACATTTGTTACGCAGAAACATATCTATTGCTATTACAACTCATTTCAATCACCATATTAAAGATAAACATCATTTGGCAAACCAACTGAACTGAATAAAAAAAGACAGTAAGTTTCATTGATATTATTGTTAACATCATTATAAATAAATAATTTTTCACCTTTTTCAAATCGCGCTTAATTTTATAAAAATATACAATATAATGATCATAACCACATGATTATTTATTATGTAAATATTATAATTATTTGCACAGATTTATCCAGAAGTTGACAATGGAAATGATGATGGAAATGAAGTAGCATCAT